CAGCCGTAACAGGCCGATACTCACCGGTTTAGACCGGTACGGAAAAGAAAAAGCTGAAAAATCTGAAATAATTTTAAAAATTTCACCGCCGCGACACCCGATTCCCGATACGTACTGATCGATACTACCGATACCGATACTCCGCGATCGATACCGTTATGTTATCCGATACCGCGATTTAGAACCTTGGGAAGAGCATCTAAAACCAAGTTGTGTCCATTGATTTAACATATGCTTATTTATGTATGTACAACAGTTTAAACGAATTCAACAATTCAACAATTATTGCTTGAACGAAAGTGGTCTTGCATTTTTTTTTTTTTCTCCCTCCATTTATCTTTTATCTAATTTTTTGTTTTGGGTCAATTATAGTGCTTTCCTTTCATATTGATTGCATGAAAAATATATGCAATCTTAGGTTAGGACAGTGGCAGTGAAATATAATATATATGTTGTCCTTGCTAAGTTAGTAAGATTTCAATTCTAAAACTTCATGTTTCCTAACTACTTGGGTCCCTCTTATCATTGTGAATCCTTTTACGTCACTTTTTTGACATTAGTGCTATGGTCAACTCTCTCTCTCTCTCTTTCTCTCTGTTATGAAACTCAGAGCCCTAACCCTACACATATATATTTTTCATTGCTAAAAAGGCATAGTGATGATGAATAAGATAGTGAAACAAAGTTTGGAGCCACTCTCAGTCTAATCTCCTACCCTGGAGTTGTTGGATGTTTCAGGTTCGGAGATCCGGTCAATGGCTTTATCACCACCCTCCCCATAATCTATATATAAATACATATATCCGTATATGCAACAAAAAAATTGGCTTGATCACCTTACCCATAACATATATCATATGTGTGTATAAGAAAAAAAATATATATATATATATAACAAAAGGGAAGGAAACTAATAATGTGAACATAAGAAAGCTTTTTCAATGTTCTGAACTTTTTTAATATAAATTTCTTGTCAATTTCGTTTGAAAGTTCACTGCATTTGCAGAGGAATTGAGATGTAAATATGTTCTCTTTTGCTTTGGATTCTCTCGGAAACTAAACGGAACATGGTGAAAATCGTCTTGAATGAACCTTCCTCTGAAGACTGAAATGAATGGATTGTCTACAAGTTGCTAGGTGCTTTTAAAATAAAAATAAAAAAAGGAAATAAAATAGAAAATATTCTTAGACAACTCAAAATTTCAATACCTAATATCTTTTACAATTCTCATGATATATGTGTTTTGTGTGTGTTGATAGATCCAATTCATACAGTTCCTTTGACTATCAATAATTCATGCCCTCTCGCAGTAATATGAACCACTCATAAAAATTCTGAGACAAAAATTCATAAAATAAAGATAAACTAAGAGATAGAAACTGCCTTTATTCAAAATATAATAATAGATAAACAGGCAAAATGGGATTTGTGTAGGTTTTGGGAAAATATGTGGAAGAAAATAGATAGGACAATGATTTATAAACGAAAACTTTTGTACCGAATAATAACAATGATGTTTTTCAAATTATGAGTCATAATAATAGGTGTTTTGATTCGAAATGAAAATTAATCACAAATAATCAAATCAGTTTGAATATAATGATACCATGCATGTTTTAGTCTCTCTTCAACATAAAACACAGATCAGAAACATTAATAATTATAGTTTTGTACATATCATTAATGCATTGTTCAACTATTATGCAGATGGATTATAGATATACAGTATGTATACCAATAAAAATACAAAGAAAAAAGGGTAGTGCAAGCAACTCCAAACCTTCCAAGCAAATAAGTTAAAAACTAAGCAATCTCATGAAACAAGGGGTCTTCAAGGAGGACTTCAGGCCAAAACGAAGAGTGCCCACCTTCATAGCTGGAAGTACTGCAAGCATCCCCCATGTTTGCTATCGAAGTCGGAGCAGCAGCCATTGGAGGAGATGGAGATGTGGTTGATGCAAGCCATGGAGAAGTCGGCGAGTGTTCACCGTGGCTGAGCACTGTATAATCAGAAGCTTGAACTATGTCTTTGTTATCCATAGGTGCTTGAAAGCTAGATGGTACTTGCAAATCAGGCATATGAGAGAAAGGGAATGAGTCCTGGATTGATTGAAGAGTGGTAGTAGTTCCAAGAGAAGATGGGGTTGGAGTTCCAAATTGGATTGAGCTATCTTTCATTAAAGATAGTGAGTTCAGAAGATTATAAGTCTCCATATCTGTGACAGTAGAGTTTGAGTTGTTTGAGAAAGTTGACATGGAAGGTTGAGGTTGAAGGAGATATTGAAGGTATTGAAGACTAGCCATTTGAACAGCTTCTGTCTGCAATCTCACAGCTTGTTCTTCCCATGAATGGTGTTCCACGAGCTCTTTGAGATTAGCCAGAGCAATGAGATGAGGTAAGCTTGAGAAAATATCAGTTCGAGGCCGGTGAGTCATTGGATCAAAACCCATCTGAATTAGCTTCTTCTTGAGATGGGTATTCCAGAAATTCTTGATTTCATTATCAGTTCGTCCGGGAAGGTGGGTGGCAATTGCAGACCATCTTTTAAAATCACAAGAAAAAATAAAATGAAAGTGAGTATGTCATTCAATTCAAGATATAAAATTATTATAGTATCAAAGAAAATTCAAGAAGAAGAAGAAAAAGATAATCAAGATTACTTGTTGCCAAGGATGGAATGGAGATTGAGAATTGTTTGTTCTTCTTCTTGTGAAAACTTTCCTCTCTTTATATCAGGCCTTAAGTAGTTAGTCCACCTTAATCTGCAACTCTTCCCACATCTGTTAAGACCTGAAAAACAACAAAGAATAACTAAGATATGTAGAAAGAGAGAGTGAGAAAGATGGAATTGTGTTGATGATATAGAGATATGAATGTATACCTGCGAGTTTAGGGAGGGCTCTCCAGCTGCCATGGCCATGTTTGTGGATGTATTTGACAAGTTTGTGATCTTCTTCAGGAGTCCAGGGACCTTTCTTGAGTCCCCTCTCATCACAACAAGGAGACCTTCCCATTTCTAATATCTAATGTTTCACTACGGTTTGGCTGCCTCCTCCAACCCTACCAAAATCTCAAGCTTTACTATATCTATATATATACATACTCTCTTTCATCCTCTTGTCTTCTCTCATTGTGTACCACTATTCCAATTGAAGGATGCTGACGTGGGTGCCTCCCATTTGCTTGTTGACCAAACAATGCCCTTTGTCATCTTGAAATTACCTATATACCCTTTTACATCACTCAAACAATTTTTTATTTTTTTTTTTTTTATTGGCGAAAGTTGTTAATTTTTAAATTTAGCAATTATGAGAATTAGTCTCCCCAACTTTTGAAAAGCAAAAATTGCTTACCCCATTTAGAGAGAATTGAACTCATAATCTCTCCCTAAAGATTAAATCCTTAGAAAAGTAACAGAGGTCAACTAATCTAGACCTAGTTGGTTCTACATCACTCAAATATAATATATATATATATATATATACACACTAATACCTTTGGTCTTGTTGATCAGGTATACATACTGTTATATTATCATTACAACTAAAAGTTTCAAGTTTTAAAAGGGGGGCTAGTGGTTCAAATCTTAATTCTCCATATATTTATTTCCAGCTTCTTTTTTTACTTTTGAAGTTTCTTTATATTTATCATGTCTTGTATTTGATCTTTATTATGACTCTCATTTATTATATTTGTTTGGATTTTGTTTTTCCACTTTGAAATTTCTTTTTTTTTATTATGGCTTGTTTTAGAAAGCGGTGGACTTAGAAAAAAAAAGAAGTTAGTTTATTGGGTTTTTTTAGCTTTTTTTTAAAAAATACAAAAAAAAAATAGAGAGAAGATGTGACCTAAATAAGTCAATAAGTTAACTTTTTTCTTACTTTCCAAAATGGGTCTATATATTGTATTTGATACTAATTGATTGGGGCTTCATTGTAGTTTGATATATCAATCCAAAAAGAAGAAAACAAAACAAACAAACAAACAAAGAGGTGAATGCACTTACTTTGAGATGAATGAATGAACTATTTTATCCTCTAATTTCGGTCTAATTTCTAAAGAGATGTTATCATTTCTACTAAATTGATATCCTTCACTAAGAAATTGGACAAACTTTGGACCATAACAAAATTTGATGCAATTTTAAAGTTTTGAATTACCTGATCATAAATTTGGCCATAACAAAATTATTCATCTATTTAATAATTTAAACTTTCAAATAAGTTGATATAAACCATTCAAAACTGGGTGGAATGAGCACCTCCTTTAAGCATTGGAGAATCATAAGTGAGACCATAATTTGTGCTCACTTATTTTCATTTTATTTTTTTATCAGCAAAAGAAGAAGAGAAATTCTCCCAGCCAAAAAAAAAATGAAATTATTGATGATAATAAAATTGTAGACCAAATTATATTGACAGTTTTTATGTTTTTCCTTTTGTATTATTTTGGTTCTTACACTTTTAATTTGTTTAATTTTGACTTTTGATTTAAAATTTTGTGTCAATTTGGTTCAATTGATAACATCATTAAGGTTTCTGACAGAAAATTATCACTAAATCGGTTAAGGTTAACTGACTTAGTTGATAAAGTTTATAATTTTGCTCTTAAAAGCATAATACATATTGTTCATGTGTACATTTTTTTTTTTATTAAAAAAATGTTAATTATAATCAATTGTATCAAATTAAGAAAAAGTAAATCAATTAAAATTATAAAAAATCAAATGGCACAACAATCAAAAATATGAGAATTACCTGTGTAATTTTCCCTAAAAGGCCAAAAAAAAAAAAAAAAAAACCATAAAAAGGTGTTGCACTACAATCAGAGAGGACAATAAATGCATCTATACTATGGAATCAACTGAGGCAACACCGCGGAGAGAATACAGATTGGAAACTCCCGAACATGCAAGTAGTTTGTTTGCAAGCCACGTGGCTTTATGATCAGAGAGACAAATTTAATTTGGAATTTTCAAAAATAATTTTTTTAATTTTAATTCGCATTTTTATATTTTTAATATTTTTTAAAATTTTTAATCCACTTAATCATGATATATTTAAAAAGTATAAATTTGTATATAAATATTTTTTAAAATTCATTAAATACAACAAAATATGAACATATATTGAATTTTTGTATTTTTTTAAATTTTTTGTATTTGTTGATTTTTTTAAAAAAAATCACAAATATTATATTGTATCTAAAAAATAAAAAATAAAAACACATAAAAAATTTAAAAAATTCACTATAAATAAAAAATACAAGAAAAAAATAATTTTCAGAAAAAACAGACAAATATTCATGGTGATGAAGTGTAGCTGCTTGCGTTTAGCATCTTGGGTCTCTTTTGGCCACAACTTACAAGTTAACTTTATTAGCTTATTGTCTTTTTTGAATCACATCATTTTTTTATTTTTTACACATTTATTTTTGTAATAAGTCCAAAAAATTAACTTATAAGTCACTAAAACAACTTCAAAATGCTTACTATTGAGATAGTATTAGCTTATTTTGGGAAGTAGGTTAAAAACTAACTTTTTGACTATTTTTTAACTTTTTTTACTAAAAAATGTATTACAAAAAACATAAAAAAAATGATATAATTCAAGAAAACCAAAACTTAAAAAATGAATTTTTAACCGAATTCCCAAAATAGGTTATTATCTCTTCTTATCTAATATGTATTTGAACCCATTACAAACTGATAGTAAAGTTTGATGTGCATATATGATATGGAAAATGAGCTGCCATAATGTTTTTATGCCTTGTTTTTTTTTTTTAAAAAAAAAAAGTGGGTGCCAACTCATTAGTGGTGCTTTAGAGCACCACTTTTAGTGGGATGTAATATAGGGAAAATGAGTGAGAATTCTAATTAGAGCTACCACTAGTGATATGACAGTGAGTCTCACCCACTGTCACAGTTTGTATTTTTTTTTTTTTTTTTTTTACAGCTCATTAATGGTAGATTTAGAATCACTAAATTAGTGGTCTCTAGCACTACCGGTAATATAGATACTCTTTTCTCTGTTCTAACACAGAAAAGTCAACATTATCCTCATTTGGTCTAAGATCTATCACAACGCCATAAAGAGTGATCCAATATGATCATGTGGCATTCAACCCCAAAAAAAATATGTCCAGAATTCCATTTTGGCAGCACGATATTCTATAAAATAAGTTCTTAACTGGTTTATATAATTGTTTTGGGTTTGTTTTTCAATGTCAAACTAATTAAGATTACTTCTGAGATTTGATCCAATTACATTTTATTTCTTGACGTTTTAGAAATTATATTTTTGTCCCTGTAGTTAATAGTCTCATTTCACAAACCTCCTATTTATATAAAACGCAACAACTCCTAATAAAAAAATATAAAAAATTACATTGAAAAAAAAAAGTAAAGAAAAGGAAAGGAAAAAAAAAACAGAAGAAGTAAAGCAAAGTAAGAAAAAAAAGAGTATATGAGTTCAATATATTCATTTCGTCTAAATAATTACAATGACAAGAGGGTTAGTATAATTTCCCAAACGTCAGGGGGTGATATGTATTAAACACAAATCTCAAAAATTGTAAGTGTAATTTATCCTAATTTTTATGATGATACTCTGTGCACCCGCCTTTTCTTTATTATATTTGTCTTAGAAATCTATTTATACATTGATTTTATCAATAAAATTTCTATCTTTATCACTGATAAAAAAAAAATTGAAAAGTCTTTTTAGTTAAAGCCTTTTTTATAAATATATATTTAATTTTTTTATCATTGTCATTTACTAAAAGAAACAAAAAAAGAAAAAAAAATCCCTGATTTCAACACGGCTTAAATTAGATAATTTTCTGATATTAATAAATAAAAAATCATAGAGGGCAAGATTGGCTTTCCCAACATCATTTTTTTAAGGTGATAGGAGATTAATTATAGTATTGTAAGAAATATTTATATCATCTAACTTACCACTAGTCCACTATAACTAGAAAGTTAACAAAGTCTAACAATCAATCCACCAAATCCAGTTCAACAATTACTACTAATCACACATATAATACAACTCTCATAATGAGGGATAAATAAGTTAACCATAATTGGAGGTGTTTGTTTCAGCTTTTCAGAGCCAACTTATGGCTTTTAGTTTTGAAAAAGTTATTTTAGACTGTTTGGTTAAACTTATTTCATAAATAAGTTAACCATAATTGGAGGTGTTTGTTTCAGCTTTTCAGAGCCAACTTATGGCTTTTAGTTTTGAAAAAGTTATTTTAGACTGTTTGGTTAAACTTATTTCATAAATAAGTTAACCATAATTGGAGGTGTTTGTTTCAGCTTTTCAGAGCCAACTTATGGCTTTTAGTTTTGAAAAAGTTATTTTAGACTGTTTGGTTAAACTTATTTCATAAATAAGTTAACCATAATTGGAGGTGTTTGTTTCAGCTTTTCAGAGCCAACTTATGGCTTTTAGTTTTGAAAAAGTTATTTTAGACTGTTTGGTTAAACTTATTTCATAAATAAGTTAACCATAATTGGAGGTGTTTGTTTCAGCTTTTCAGAGCCAACTTATGGCTTTTAGTTTTGAAAAAGTTATTTTAGACTGTTTGGTTAAACTTATTTCATAAATAAGTTAACCATAATTGGAGGTGTTTGTTTCAGCTTTTCAGAGCCAACTTATGGCTTTTAGTTTTGAAAAAGTTATTTTAGACTGTTTGGTTAAACTTATTTCATAAATAAGTTAACCATAATTGGAGGTGTTTGTTTCAGCTTTTCAGAGCCAACTTATGGCTTTTAGTTTTGAAAAAGTTATTTTAGACTGTTTGGTTAAACTTATTTCATAAATAAGTTAACCATAATTGGAGGTGTTTGTTTCAGCTTTTCAGAGCCAACTTATGGCTTTTAGTTTTGAAAAAGTTATTTTAGACTGTTTGGTTAAACTTATTTCATAAATAAGTTAACCATAATTGGAGGTGTTTGTTTCAGCTTTTCAGAGCCAACTTATGGCTTTTAGTTTTGAAAAAGTTATTTTAGACTGTTTGGTTAAACTTATTTCATAAATAAGTTAACCATAATTGGAGGTGTTTGTTTCAGCTTTTCAGAGCCAACTTATGGCTTTTAGTTTTGAAAAAGTTATTTTAGACTGTTTGGTTAAACTTATTTCATAAATAAGTTAACCATAATTGGAGGTGTTTGTTTCAGCTTTTCAGAGCCAACTTATGGCTTTTAGTTTTGAAAAAGTTATTTTAGACTGTTTGGTTAAACTTATTTCATAAATAAGT